CAATGTTTTTTTATTTTTTATTTTATTTTTTATTTTTTATTTTTTAGCAGGAACCAGGGATTGAACTCAGGCCCTTGGGCTTGCCAGGCACACTCTTATTCAACTGAGCTATCTCCCCAGCCCCCTAAGTTAATGTTTTTTAAATCTGGATGATATACATCAGGGAAACAGTAATTAGATTTGATTTAATAAAAGTTAAACCAGGGAGATGGCTCAGTGGAATAAGTGCTTCCCTGGCAAGCGCAAGGGCCTGAGTTCAATCCCTGGTTCCACCAAAAAAATAAATAAATAAAAGTTAATCTTTATTCATGTTTAAGTGGCAAAGCCCGCAGGGTTCCTACTCTCAGAACTGATTTGGGAGAGGTAAGGGACGGGGGAGCAGACTCTGCTCAGAGTCCTAGAATCACTGACTTCCGTGTGGACTGTACCCCAAATCCCTGGAGCACCCCTACACTCTGGTAGTGGATACTAGGAGCCCCTTTGCTGGCTGGCCAGGATAAGAACAGAGTTTGGAGTAGACGGGAGGATTATTTGTGGGAAGAAAAATAGGGGTGAAGCTTCTTTTCTTGTAGTAAGAACAAGGTTTTAATATAATATCTACCTCTAGCATTTTCTGTTTGTAGCAAATAAATATTGTTCTCCCCCAATCAATAAGCATTTTCTTCTTTCTATACGATTTTTTTTTTTTTTTTTTTTTTTTTGCGTAACTAGGGATTGAACTCACCCCCTTGCGCTTGCCAGGGAAGCACTTATTCCGCTGAGCCATCTCCCTAGCACCTCTATGCAAATATTTTAAAAGAAGTGAGCAATATCATTTTAAATCAATCAAATTGATAAACTTTAATTTTTAAAAAATATTTTATTTACTTATTTATTTATTTATTTGGTAGAGGGTCTCGATACACAGCTCAGACTCAGTGATCTTCCCGTCTCAGCCTCCCCAGCAAGGGGATTACAGGTGTGTGCCACTATGCCCAGCTTCGGTGGCCAACATGCACACCCAGGGTTCCAGGACCAGCATAACATTCAGTATCAGGATTGAACCTGGGTCCTTGAACTTGCCAGGCAGGCGCTTAGACTGCCGAGCTATCTCTCCAGCCCTCTGTATGAATATTTAATTGGCCTCCACTTCCCCCAAACCTCCTTTCTTCCCAATCTCCTGTGGTCTCATCCAGCCTTGGTAGAGTGGTGAAGGGCACTTGCAGGGCTGTGAGGTTCAGCACCCACAGGGTTTCCTCACTCCTTGGTAGCTCTCTGCTAGCCCAAAGACAGACTCTCCGGTGTAGCCCGAGAGCAGCCAGGGTGATGGGAGGAGGGGCTGGGATGCCTTAAAGGGTCCTCTCGTGGGCGGGAGGAGAGCACTGCGGTGGTGAGACCTGCTGGCTGAATGGCTGCCCTGGGGCGCCTGGACAGCCAGCCTGAACTGGGAGGGCAGGTGTTGAGGGCCGTGCTTGGGGGCAGGCGAGGACACCATGTCCACTGACAGTCCTCCTTGGCAAAAACCAGCTCATCCTCTGGTTCCAGGAAGTAGAAGGCAGGGATTTAGGCGGCAGTAGGCGAGGTTGGAGTGAAACCACTAAATTGCTCAATTGCTCAAGCTAGGCTCAAACTTGCCATCCTCCTGCCACACTCTCCAGAATGCTGGTGGCACAGTGCCATACCACAAAGCCCCTTGCTTTTTTTTTAAAGAAAGGAAGACTGTCACATATACTGGCACACACCTGTAACACCACACTCTAGGAGGCTGAAGCAGGAGGAGCAAGTTTGAGGCCACCCCGAGCAATTTAATAAGCCCTTGTCTCAAAAAAGTAAAGTGGATGTGGTGCACACCTGTAATCTCAGTACCAGGAAGCCTGAGGCAGGATAATTGACATAAGTTTGGGAGTAGTCTGGGCTATGTAGTGAGTTCTGGGCCAGCCTGAACTACACA